CGCAACAATAGAACGAAAAATAGACCAGAGTTTAACGCTGGGAAGGACGGGCCGTTTATAAACAACACTCGTTCGCGTCGCGCCGGGCATCTGCGTCAGCCCACGAAGAAAGTATCGGGACCGTTGAACCGTGACGTGCGCGTCTATATTTCATACTTGACACCGAACGGCGAGTTTCGGTGGGGAGGTGCCGCGACGGTACGAAAAAGCTTTGATGTCGGCGCGCATGAGCGTGTACGCTCGTCCGCAATTACGTATGTGGGTCACACGTCTACGGTGAGACCGGCCACCCACGTGAGCGACCGCGAGAGGTAAGACCTCTAATAAGAGGAGAGCTCTCTCTCTCTCTCTCTCTTTCTCTCTCTGTCTCTCCCGTGCCTACTTATGTAAAATTTCATGACACTTCTCGCGCGAGTTGAACACCGCCGCCGACATTTACGCGTCTCTTGAGCGTATCTCACTCGATCGTAATGAAACAATAACGCGGATTCGCGGAACGAGGATCGATCCGAACGATAAAGGTGCATAAAATAGACCGATTTGGGTCTAAAAAGTGTAACGTAAGTTTTGTATGTAATCTTGCGTTTTTCGGGGGTCGCACAATGGTGGAATTTTTATCTATCTAAACTCGTGGGCAAGTCAAAATGTGCGTCAAAATCGGCTTATATCACCGTCGCTCGCGTGAATCTTTGGTTATAATAATAATCGACAAGAAGAATTATTACCGCGCTTTAACGATGTAATAACACTTTCGTTTATAATTTACACCGCTATTCGTGAGCGTCCAAATGAAAGTAACGACCGACCGAGACAATAAAAATTGCCCGGCGCAAGAACAATTTTTAGAAACGCGCGCGATTATTTACGTAACGCGCGGCGGAGCGAGGAGAGACCGGGCTCGCGCAAAAACACGGGGAAACGGCGCGATTCCAAGTGAGGTTTGTTCGCCGACAACGCGCGACCACGTGGCGCAAATTCGGCAAAGTGACCACGCGTCGCGACGCGACGCGCGTCCACAAATGGCGCGGCCGATGGTCCATGGTCGTAACCAACCCCACCACGGTGTGTGATGTTGGTCGAGACCGACCGAGGCTTCTCCAAAAATAGGATGACGACGACGACGTCCTCGTCAACGACGACGACGTCGACCAGAGGGGAGGGACCGACGGGGCGCCTTGGACGTCGCGGCGTTCAGTAGCTCATAGCCTGCGCCGTTTCCGCGCATCTCCGGGCGCGGCGGTCGATCTTTCAAAAATAACAATTATAACTGGTATTTTCGCGGAGATTATTGATCCTCGTCGCTACACCACGAGAAAAAAGTACTTAAAAATTTATCTGCGGATGTAAGATGGGATGTAAGGTTTAGTTCGCAGAAATAAAGATTTTCTGCGAATTAAACCTTATTTCGGTGAAATAAATTATATATCCCCTAAAAAAATTGTTAAGTGTTCTTCTCCGACAAAGAAAAGGATTTCCTTGGCTTTGGCTTGGCTTTGTTTGATAAGCAACATAATTTAATCTCAAATATCAAATATCATTGTGTTTAAATGAAAATGTTGTCGTGTCACTAAACTATGTTGTCATTTGGTGGGAAAAATACAGTGCTATTTCGAGGAAATACATATAATATTTAACTTTCAAAATATCTATTTCATTATATATTGAATATTGTTTCACTAAACACAAAAACAAACATGTTATTTAACGCAAAGATATTTATTGCTTGAGGAAGCAAACAATCCTGTTCGTCAAATCAAACATTCATTTGTTCGCTGCCTTCCAAAATTTGTTTCAATTCAAGAAATTTGATCAAATCCAAGTAAATCTTTCTCTCTGCGCATCTGTGGGCACATTTGCTCGGCCCGAAATAAAAGAAAATAAAATGCACAATTCGAATTCCGTCGAATTGTTCCCCTCAAGATTTGTTAGTAATTAGATATTCCATTATTAACGTAGTTTCGGTAAAGATGAATCTGAATCGTTAAATCTCGCAGCTGATTTTCACGCTTGCAGCGTACCTTCAACTTTCGTGACACGAGTCGCTGCTGAAAAAAATTGCTTTCCACAGCGATCGTGCTCTTCTGTTTCTCAGTAGCACACCACGCCTTTCTTTCTTTCTTTACTTTCCACTCTGGGAATTCGCTTTAATCCGTCGCGCCTGGACGCTGCCGTTTGCGCGGCCATTGTAGTCGCGTGTGCAATCAATTTGCGAAACTAATCTATCAGTACGCCCACGAAAATTCACACTGCGGTGCGACATCAAAGCTGTTGTTCGCGCCCACGTGTGTCGGGCTGATCGGTCTTTCGCAAAAATCGACGCGAGCTAACGCTAATGCACGTGGCGATCGGAGGCAAGCCTATTTATAATCCAGACACCGTCCAAGCGCACGACGGTGCCAGAAATAACAAATCCCGAAGTCGTAGGTCACGAGAATAAGACGAGTATGGAGACGACGACGCCTACCTTGATAGACATTAGTTGACGTATTTTGATACACGTACGAAAGAGGTGTACGAGAATCGTTACGAATAATAATTAATGNCCCCCCCCCCCCAATGAATAAAAATGAAAAATGATCGTCCCCTTTGAGCCGACGATGTTATTACGAGATGCGCTCACGAGTAAAATAAAAAAATCTGTATAGCTCATCTGAATCGAACGTGATAATTTGCCGACAATAATCCGACTACTTCAGTAACGATTTCCCCTACGGTCGATCGGTCAAAGTGACACCGGAAAGAATGGTCGTACGTAAAGCGATCCGTGTGGGAAGACGGTATTTTCACCCGCGCTGAAAAATACAACACCGGAAGAGGCTGGGCGGCTAAGAAAGTTCCAGGCCTGTCGACAGCGTAGAGGGCAATTGTGATGTCGACCAATTAAGCCACGGCCCACGCCCGATTTTTCATTTCGCTCGTGCTCGAGCCTCTTCCGCATCGATAACATCTTCGTCATCCCACCCCCGAATCATTGCGCGCGGACTTCGTCGACGTTGCTCGACGTAGCGAGTTGACGCCGCCACATTTCTCTCTGCGTCATGAAACGCCTGACTTTACATCCCCCCGTGACAACATCGACGAATACATTTCGATTCACAGAGAAAAAGATTCTTTCTTTGGATTTAGTATACCTGTTTGACTTGGGTTTGTTTAATATAAACCAAAAAATGCAATATGAAGTATCATTCTGTTTCAATGAAAATGTTGCTTCACTAAAGTAAACTATGTTGTTTGATAGAAAAAGACACAGTATTATTTAGAGAAGATATTTCGTTTCGATAAAAAAAATTATCATTATCTATTGTAATCGATTCTATTATATCTATTATAAGTATTGTTCCAGAAACACACAAAAAAAGTTCTTTAATATTTTCCTAATATAATATTCTTCTTCAGTGTGTTTAGATGAAAATACAGAAAAATGTCACTTAACGCGAAGATACTTATCACCTAAGAAACTAAGCAATTCTGTCTGTTGACATTCGTTTACTCTGTTCCAAAAGGCAAATTAGTTGCAATTAAAGAAATTTTATTCGATCCGAGAAGAAATCTTTCTCTCTGTTATTATTTTCATAGTCTAAGCAGAAATTGAACAATTGGAAACGTTGAAGAGAGGAAACATATCGATTGTTCCAGGAGCTTCTCTTCGCGACAAAGAACGTCGCTGCTCGCGAAGTACGACGCGCGTCTTCCGCGTGCGACGAACGTCTCGGGTCATCCGTTGTGTAATTACACGGCATTATCTATTAGCCACGGTTGTTAAGCCCACGACAATGACCGTCCTCCGTTCAATCGCGTAACTCGTCCAGCGTAACCAGACGAGATATCGAATACCCCGCGGATGCCGGTCGCACGCAGCCCGATCGAAACGTCGCGCGCACGACTCGTCGTCCTACCGTCGTTGCCGTCATGAAAACGATTGACGTAGATCCCACAAACTTCTATATATATAATGTACCAGGCCATATATTTCTCATATATTAGCCTCATCTACGCGTACCCTAAATCTATCAAAACTGAAACAGAATGAGCGAGATAGAAGCACTTGAATTCCAGATGTGATAAGAAGTTCCTTCGCGAACTTTCAAGTATCATGCGATCTGTTTTTCGCACGAAAATGCCATTAAAGCGGTGTAAGGGTGTAAAACTGTACAACACAAAGATTGTGGGATATTTCTCTTCAAATATTTTATAACTGTTCCAAGTACTAGCGGAGAACCGCATTGTTTGCGCTCTAACTTATGCACAAGTTGCGTACATTAAGACCGGGTACGTCTGATAAGCGGCAGTACGCAGTCCGTATTATAATAGAAGTTTGTGGGCAAGGATCAACGACGCCTACTCGTCATCTATCTCGTTGATGCTCGCGAGACATTCGGCCAGGTATGAGCTAAGCGTAAAATTTTCGTCGGATACGTTAAAAGACTGTGCTCTCACACGGCTGAAACTTTAATGGCTCCTTTCACAAAGAAATGCGGTATGCGCGCGACGTGTTATTAAGAGTCCACGCATCCCTCGCACAATGGCGATTTCAAACGTCGGCTTAACACCGAAAGCACAGCCGCTCGCGGCTGTATCAAACAGCTGTTACGCAAAACGCAAAAAATGCCTCCGTCGCTATTTTTTTCCTCCCCCCTCCGTCCCCTCTCTTTCTCCGTTCTTACGCGCGAAACCAGTTTCGTTTATCAGAGATGCAGACTTACCACATGGCCTGAACGGACACCGGCTTGAAGATGTGTTGACGGCCGCAAACGCTGACCTTGAAACCCCTGGAAAATAAGAAATCCGGAAGTGAGATCGCGGCCTTTGGGGAGCACGACGTGTCGGGCGAGGTTGCCCTTATACAGAGCGCCGAGAGCTATCGAAGGACTATTTCGCGAATAATCGAGGCCGGCGCTCTGTTTCAGGACATTCCCGCGCCGCTTCAGACCCCTAATTTACAAAGAATGGGATAAGCTTTTACGTACGGCAAGTCCCGGCGACACGGACACGTGTTCGTCGAGAGTACGTGAAAAAAAATTAATCTCCAAAAGAATGTATATACAAACGTGAACAAAATTTCCTAATAATTGTTTATGAAGAACGCGACAACGTATGACTCGACAAATACGTTCGTTTAAAATTCTCCAATTTTCAATAAAATTCCCGGAGAATCCGTGATTTTTCCGGGCGTAAACAAATTCCCCGAGAATTCCAAGTTTCCCAAAGCAGTGGACATTCTGTCTATTAAAAAAAAAAAAAAGAAAAAAAAACTTCCATCCATTTTTTCATCAAGAACTCCTACCAAGGCTGCGTGCATTTTTATCCTCTACAAAGAAGGGGGCGACGTTATACGTTGGACGGTCAAAGTCGCGATTTCGCGCTTCTAAACTGCAACGGTAACGCAATTCTCGCGGTTAGGACACAGGAAGAGGGGGGGAGAGCGCGTATCCAGTATAGCCATTAATTACGCATTATGTAAAGGAGATCGCGGCTCGCTGCCGTAATGTACGCGCCGGCGGTAGATTTCCGGGAAATCGCTGCCGATCCCGCGGATCGTCTCTCTTCCAGAGAGAAACGGTACTCGCGACCGGTCATCGTTACGCATACGCTGCAGGTGGCTAAGGTATTGTCCGAGAGAGGCGCACGCTGCGAGCGATTGAGAAAAAACGAAGAGGCAAGGCCGTCGTTATCCTCGCACCGAATATCGATCGCTTTCCAAATTCCGCAAGGAGACCGCGCGCGAAACCGTAACACGTAACGGCACCGTGAGCCGCGACGACGTCCAAATTCGCGTTGCCTTACGTAACCGAGTTACACGCGGATAAATTGCAGTTACGTGAACGGCCGAACGCAGCGAGGAAGAAAACGAAGGAAAAAAAGGAGGGAAGAATCGTCGAACATCGCCGCGAGCGTTAAGACGCTCAAATTGGGATGCACGAGGCGGCTCGCCGTTCGAGAGATTCGGCCGCACGTGCGGCAACAACGCCGCCTGCGGATTCCCCGTACTCGCCGGCCGCGTTATTCCCTCTCACCACCCTCTCGAGCTACAAAACGGACGGAAAAAATGCAATTCCCCGAAATTACCCGGCCGCACCGTTATCGTTCAGATCGTAAACCGAACCGCCCTCCCTCCCTACCGTATGCAACAGCAGCACAACCTTCTTCCCCGGGCATTCCTCCTCCTCCTCTTCTCCGGCTTTCGGATCGTAATTCGCCTCTCTCTCTCTCTCTCTCTCTCTCATCGATTACAGTTACCCTCTTACGCACATTCCGCGAACGAATTTTACGGCCGGCCTCCCATTTCCTCGAGACGCACGGCGAGATCGATCGCAAAAATCGCGAGCGCAGAAGTTACCCGAGAGAGCCTGACTTGTGAGCAAAGTTCGAGATTCCACGCTTTTTTCCTCTCCCCGAGTTTTCCCCGACGTTTCCGATCCCCGTGATCCTCTCCCACGGTTTTCCGCAGGGTCCGCGGCAATCCCGACTCGTTTTAGCGTTATCATTATTATTACATCACGGGTACCTGGGTACGTTCGGAGGGAAAAAGGACGGTCGAGTTCAATGCGACGGCTTAATCCGCTTAAGTGGCGCGCAAGGCCGGATTAGCATCGCGTAACCGGCGCGCGCGCGGATTCCCGGCGGGGTTCGGCGGGAAAAAGAATTCCGCCGGTCGAATCGCGCGTTAACGACGCGACCTCTCGCAACGTTCGTTGTTTCGCCCGTTTATTTTTAATCCGCCCTCCGCCAGCGACACGTGCGCGATTCTCCGTCGGTCGCTTCGCGCTCGGCCACCGTCACATATATCGAATATCGAGCCGGTGAACCGCGACCGTTACGGCATTGAACGCGTTAACTAAATTCCCCCCTGTGCCGTGCGGGCCGAAGCCGCAGAGCAGGAGGAGAGCGACGGGGTGGCAATTCGCCGACTCGAGGTCGAGTAATCCCGGACTGTCGCAACCGGCGCGGTAACGTTTCAAATCGACCGATCGGGAAAGCGAGTGACGTATCTCGCGTGTGATGCGCGCGAGGAGGAACTCTCTCGCGAGTTCGCGACAGCCACGAGGAGCGGCGGAGGAGGGAGCAGAGGAGGTGGAGGAGAGGAAGATGAAGAGAGAGACGATCGTCCGCGCCCCGAGGGTCATCGACATCGTAGGAACGCGAGCTGACCGACCCGTTCGCGCTCATTTTCTTTTCCTATACACCCGCCTCCTTTTCTTTCCTTTTCCCTTCGCCACGCATCGGCCTGTCCGTCCGCCCGTCCGTCTGTTCGTTCGTCTGTCCGTCCCTTTATCGCTAATTTCGCGAGAATTGCTCGCCCGACCGGACGAACAACGCGCGCGCGTCGGCCCAGCCGATGTGCTCTCGCGTGGGTGGACTTTTTGCCGACGGCCGGGGAAAAGCCGCCGACGACGGAGTCCCGGCCGCCTCTTTACGCGCGAGACAGAGCTTCCTAATCGCGCGAAAAGCGCCGTGAGAGACGGAGAGAAAGAGAGGTCAACCCGAGAGGCTAGACGACGCGAGGATCGTTTTGTTGGCGCGCCGCGTCGTTGATATGAAAATTCCACGGTCATTAACTCGCCGAGAGCGCGGATACATCGCGCTGCCGGGGACCTCACGCGTCTCAACCGTCGTTTCTTGCCGAGGAGCTGTTATACACCAGCTGAACAGTTAGAGGGGCTATCGACGACGACGACAAAGAGCGACGCGTCCTTAAATTCACGATAACAATCGGTCCTTGCCGTTCCTTTCCGCGTGAACCGGCTCAGAGTGTCTCTCCCTCTCTCTCTCTTTCTTTCTTCTCGGGGGAAGAGAATTATTTCGAGAATGCGATGCTCGCAGTTCTTAAGAAGTCCTTAATTACCACAGGTCTTGCTGAATCGCGATTTAATCGATACTAGTCCCAATCATTCTCCAAGGCTTTCTCCGTTTATACTCACCGGGCCGCCTTAATTGATCGAAGAAAGTCGTCGGGGCGGCTGCACGGACGGTTTGTTCATTATTGAACCTACACCCCGAGAACGATGACGGAGTGACCGGGAAGATGCGGCGTAATCGCCGCGTGTGTCGCTCCGGAGATAGCTTCCTCCGTGGTCCGTTTTAGCGCGTCTCGCATCGGTACTCCACGGTATAATAAGCCAGTGGTTAATGAGAAACCCCGGCGAAGATTCACCGCGTGATTCACACCGCATCCCGCACTGCGGTAGGCAGGCAATCACGCTGAACAGCCGGCACGGTAACGCCCCGAGTCGAGCGCGATTTCGCAAGTTATGTCGCGACCTTCCGTCGTAACCTTGGTACTCACCTGTCAAGTACCTTGCCCGAACGCGCGTGCCTTACGGTAACGCGCTCCATTTCCCTACGCTCGTGAGAAGGACAGAGAGAGAAAGAGAGAGAGAGAGAGAGAGAGAGAAAAAGAGAGAAAGAGAGAGAGAACGAGCGCGAGAGCGGTGGCGACCTTCGCATTTATCTTTACGGAGGCGGTATCGTATATTATATATACGATACGCCGCAAACGAGAACAAGCGATCTATTGTGCGATCTCGCGGCATAAATCTGCGGAAAACGCAGCGATATCGGGGGGAAAAAAATAAAACACGGATCCTCCGCCCGTTTATTTACGATTCGACCATTCTCCTTCTCGCAAAAAAAAAAAAAGGGGAAAACGTCGACGAGCGAAAAGAATGAGTTAATCGTACGTTCCGGCACACGTCGCTTTCACGTGCCGAGCGGAGAGGATAAGTATTGAATCGGACCGCGAGCAATAACGAAAGGGAAAAAGGATAACCACGAGGCTTGGGCCTTAAATACAATTGAACTCGATAATGAAACGTCTTCGGCGGTTCGATAGTCCGATGGTAAAGGAACGGTGTGGGGTAGAAATTTAGTTTCTTTCCGCGATAAAAGCCGCGCGCGCTCTTCGGAAACTCGGCGGAGAAAGGTGGAGAAAGCACGGTGGACGGTGAGCATTCGGTCTACGTGGAGCGCATTGTCTACATCGATTACGGGCGGAAAGACAGCGCGCGGTCGATACTCAGACGCGGATAGACTATTCGCCCGTTTACGCGTGTACAGAGAGCAGATACTCTCCTTTCGTTTCACGGCGCGTACGCCGTTCGACACGTTCGACTAATTACCGACGCAACGGACTTAGCGCGAGCGTGTGGCGAGCCGTGGCAATGAGTCACTTTAAAGCGGAGAGAATCGGACTAGGCGAGCTGCGTTAGAAAGCGCGCCACCGGCTGCTCGCTTAATGCGGCCTGATAATATTTGTTGATCGATCAGGTCGCCGGATATAAAACAGCGCGCGTGTTACGCCTGAAGAGTCACCGGGGGGGGGGGNGGGGGGGGGGGGGGGGATGTCGATCGAGCGAAATGCATCCGAGCTGCACGGAGTGTCTCAGAAGTATCGCATGTCCTCCTCCTCCTGGCCATGAATTCTCTCCTGTCGACTTGTCCTTGACGGAGAATTAATAGATGACGTACAACGAATTGTTCTTTTGCGCTCGGAGCTCAAATTTTACACGGTATATACTGAGAAAAGGAGCAGTTAATCGATAAAATCAGCGGTCACCTCCTCCCCCTTCTTCTCGTTCGATGAAATATTGTACTCGCTAATTAAGTGACGCGTTAGCGATACGTTTGAGAACAAATTTGATTTCGTTCGTCTAAGCAAAATTTTCTTTGATTCTGTCGACCCTTTTCTCAGTACACAATTACGGTCTTCAGTCGTAAGATTTTGACAAATTCGCGAAAAAAAAATACACCGTGCATCATCGCCAAAGTTGGAGGTACACGTTGAAATAAAAGCCCTACGTAATTACGAGGGAGATTTCGAAGTTGGTATTTCGAATTTGAAGGTATGAACAGAAGGGCAACAGTTCACGCCGCGATAAATGAAAATATCTACCGTCATCGTCCATCACCTCTCGGGTGAGCGATTTCGCATCTGCAAAAATTGGTTTCCGAGCCGATCAAATCATCGACGATCCGACGAATTGTTGCTAATTTCTAATAAGACCGTGCTTTGTATTCTACGTCTGCGTCTACGAGAGAATGGACGGGTTAACGATGGGGAAAGTAAACATCCTGAGTGTGTCTGTCAATATGACTTGATTGAGATAACGGAAACTGCGAAGTGAATTTTTTCCCGTCCTTGATTATAGGCATTAGTCGGCACAGTCGTAATAGAAAGTGTATTGAGACGTATGTAAAACAGTCCACCGACGAGACCGACAATTATTCTAACTGTCCGCGGCTTCGAGGAAGAAGGAAGACATCTGATGCCAGGGTCACCACACGGTGTGCATTACATACTGTTGCACTTGCAGATGCACATTCACGCCGCGCGTGACGTAAGCGGTGACGACGTTCGTCCAACGTACGGTTATTGTTCGCCGACATTCGATCTTATCTCCATACGACGCTCCCGCCGACTTATTTTACGATATTTCAGCTGGATATCACGTACGTTTTGCCGATCGGTGGCACGCGATGAAAATGAAGATCGACAAGTCATGAAAGAAATCACGTCGGAAATACTCGAGTAATTAACACTATGAATGTAGAGTAATATTTTATAAATGCAAATACGCAAAATTTATTTTATCCGGTCGAAAAGTATTTCCAATATTATGAAGATTGAGCAACATCGTGCGAAATAAACAGAACGTCCCACGGAATAGGAATCGCAGTCATTTCTTTAGTTAGTAAAACAAAAGATGATATTTTTACTTGTTGCACATTTACTATTAAAAATTCAGCGAAGAAAAAAATTGTTGCCGCCAGTTGTTTTTCTTAGTTTCGCTGAAGGAAGATTACCCTTTAATCTTGCATTGGTGAAACTTCATAAAAAAAAAATAAATAAAAAAAAACTAACTTGTGAAACTTCGTGAAACTTCATAAAAAAAAAAACTAACAGAGAAAATTTTCTCTTCGACAACTTTTTGGCAATGAATAAAAATATTACTCAGAATTGATTCTGCCCATTTTGTTCCGCTAACATATGAAGTATACGGAGGTCTGAGTAGAGGGGAATCTCGGGATGCATTTTTCACGAAGGCACAGGCTGAGATTGCCCGGCGATCAGTCGACAGTTAGCGAGCGATGTTATATAAGAAATCATAAATGAGACGGATAGAGTGGCATTCCCGCGGGCTGGTAATCACCGGGACGTACTAATTCGCGGTGGCGCGGGAATTATTGCAGAAAGTAGCGAGAGATCGGAATGGTTCTCGCTCCGGGGAGAGCGCGTTGTGACGGCGATGACGCGACGAGAAAAAGAGGCGATTGCGCCAGGAGTTACTTACCCGTCGCCGTCGAGAGTGATAGCGGTGTCGGCCAAAACTCGCAGCACAAGACCGACGGTCGCCCTGGCGTGGCAATCGATACCGAGAAGGCAGCTCTCCTCGGCGTCCTGCCTTCCTGTGCACGAGACGACGACGAGGTATCGCGTCCTTCCTGGATGCACCGACTCCAGTTTCACGGCCTGAAAGAAAAACACGAGGAAGTCTCCGATTACTTTACGGCTGTTTCAAGCACGGCTCACGAATGACGGGACATTTAAGCGCCGCTTACGAGCGAGGCGACATTTAAACCGTCGATCGAGCTTAAGTGCCCGCGAGAGTTGCCTCGGATACTTCGAATTACGATATAATACGGGGGGCGTTTCGCACAAGGGCGAGGCCGTCTCTCTTGCGAGAAAGATATTAAAGTTTGAACGAGGCGGGCTCCCCGCAATGAGATACATGAGTATAGAAAATGACCGAATTTTACGCAGTTTTTCAAGCTACCTCGATAGAGTTTAACGTTGAAGAATTTTCCGGGAAAATTACGGCAACGGATGCGGACGCATATCAATATTTCTGTCTATCCGAGTCGAAAGGTTAAATTCTACATCAAGCCTTCAAGTGGAAAATAAGCGCATTAAGTGCTCCTTTAATGCTGCGAGAGGAATTTAGTCCCCCGGAGTCTCAATGTTAGTTCCACGTTAAGCCTTCAAGCGGAGAACACGGCAATTTCCCATTTGTGACGCTAAAAAAGGAGCACAATAGAAGACCATCGAACAATTAACGCAAGAACTAAATTGGACTTAAAGCAGGGCTAAGATTGGGACTCGGGTAGGATGAATGGCTCGTTTTGATCACAAGGAACGCGCGTCTCGATGACTTGACGAGATATACAGAAGCGCGATTCACCCGAATTCCCGTGCACTCGTCGCGAATACCACGATCGCTATCTTCCAGGGTTAACGACACCATCAGGGAAGTGATGTTACACAACCAGCTCATTGGCTTCGCTTCCGTTCAACGGGCGGCTTCCCGTTTCCATCGATATCGACAGTGTAATAATACGGTCTACCTACTTCGATCCATCCACTTTGCATACCGCCGCCACAAAAGTCACACTTTTATCAATTACACGCGTGGTGTCGCAAGCTAATGACAGACGCACGGTGTCGATCGTGCGTCCTTCATCGCGGAAACGCCGATGAAACCACCAGCGGTCTCCCATCGGGGAACAATCAAATATTTTTTTAATCGGAAAACAGAAAACAGATCCGTGTTGCGGAGCCGACGATTGCAATTACCCTTTGTGGCGCGGAGCGAAGGGTTAACGAGAGAGAAATCGACGTGCAGCGTGGAGAATAGAAGGCCGCCGGTCGAACGGCGAGCGAGCACGCTTCCTCGGAGAATTCCCAGGATGAAATCCTGCGTGTGAGATATTCCGCTGGTTAAAACGATCAGGCGGAACGCTCACAATAATTCGCTCGCTCGATTAAACGCGAGCGTATCACTCGCAGTCATCTCACCGCGAGGGTTTAAAAGTTCCGTCGCGCGATGCTCCCGAGAGCGGACTGTTTAATTACTTTCACCGGTTGCCCCCNCTTTCCCCGGTTGCCCCCCCCCCCCTCCCCATCCCCGTCTCTAGACATCGGCTACCGGCGGCCAAAGGAAACGCCGGCATGAAATGAACGACACGAATTACGGGAAATCGCACGGATGAGAGGAGTGAAGGAGAGAACGAGAAGAGCAACCCGTGACGCGTCCCGGTTGCGAGCATTACACTTATCTCGCGGACGCGCGATTTTACACACGCGATTCGTACTCCCCGTGTCCCTTCGTAATGCCGCCAATTTGTAGTACACAGTCTCGGCTTTTCCCATCTTCTGTCCATCTTCTCAATCGTGATTTCGTTATCGCGCTTAGATTAAGTTTAATATCAGCTGTCACCTGGCCTTCTCAGACGTCGGATAAGTTAGAGGAACATGACGAGCACAATTCTAATACTTTCATTTGTTGCTAAAATGTTGCCGAAGAATCAAATTCGTCGCTCTGTTAATTTATTTAATAAAGCTTCGCTTAAGGAAGATTAAGTTAGCAAAACGATATATATATATATATATATATATTGCAAGGAAATTCAACGCAACAATATATGAATTTGTTGGAAATTAGTTCCTCAAAACACGGTGTGATCCTATTTATGTTATTATTGTTCACGAAATAAATTTAAACAACAGCGAAGAATCGCTCAGCGCGTGCTAAAGTTCTCCTCTGTTGTTTAACATTATTTCGCGCGCAACAAATTCATAATTTTGATATTTCAAGAGCAACGTATTCAAACAGTATCTCAGTAGCAAATTTGAGCGAGCAACCAATTTATTTTCTGACTTGCTCTTATAACTGGGAGAGGTCTAACGCACTAAGCTTCGATCACGTGATTTTCTCGTTTATGTAAAGTATCCCCTTAAATTCTCGCTATAATTTGAACAGATAGCAGTATTCAATAAAGCTTAACAACAATAACAATTTTTGAACGCCGCCGAGGCACGCTCGTGCGGTGCAAATCGGCCGCGCGAGACTCGCGAGTGTCGCGTTGCCACAGGCGTCGTGTGCGTTTTTACAATGTGTAAAAAGGCAATTAACATTTCCGCACCCTCTCGAGTATTCCAACCGGGGCCGATAACGATAACAGACCGGATTTCGTCGACAGCCGTCGCGTCTGTCTTGGCGCGCGCTACGCCGCTTATAGGTGCTGCGTCGTCCTCGTCGTCGTCTCGTGAATTCCTTTCCTCATTCGAGCGCAAAAAAAAGGAGGGGGGGGGGGCGAGAATACGAGCGTTAATCGCGCGCCGGTGCGTTCGCGCGTAACGACGCACTCGCGGGCGTTAATAAATGATAAGTGCACCTCGCGCGGTTATCTCGCGCGGCCGCAGCTAATTAAGTTTCATATATCAATGGCTCGAAACGAGAACGGGTCCGATGTCTTCTTTCTAGGATTTGGAGCGGAAAGAGGAAAATATATTGTACGAGAGAGTCGGTTCTCTTCTTCTTGTCTTTTTTTTTCATCTTCCTCTCGCCTCGAAAATGAATGACGTTAACTGCTCGCTGCGCCGGGGATCCTCTTTTTCATACACTTTTCACACCGCTGCGCGCACGTAATTAACATTCTCTGATTGTGTCCGATATATCTCACGGGAATAATTGTTGATACGTTAGTATGAAAAAATGAAGGCGTTATGGTTAATTAAAGATCGTATCTCGGCATTCGCATGTCCGAAGAGTGCGATCATCTCGATAAAAATGCTGTATCGATCCTACCTCTCCGCGGGATTAATGTAAAAATATATTCCCCGGGTAACCGAGCGAATATAAACGTTCCAAATAACGGCACGTGGATACTTCAGCGGTCTTATATATATGCATGCACTCAAATAATTGCAAATAATTAAATGTACCGAGATGATAATTTTAAATAAATTAAAAAAGTGTCGATACGGATGGAAAAACTCGTTGGCAAAATATATATCGGAATAACGAACGGCGACGGAGAGGCTGAGAAAATATAAAGTACAGAAATGTTCGTCTCGTGCTTGTGTGCGTATCGTCTATTGCGGCTTACATCCGCCGATAGACGGATTTTTACATTCAGCCGATCGTCGCCGCTCGATCGCGATTTTCCGGCGAATATGCGCGGCCTCTCGACGCCGGAAATCCCTCGCTTCCATCCGAAAGGAGGAAGTGGCCGATTAATTCGTGCGACAGATATCGCAGTCACGATTCGCCGTCTCGCGCCGGTTCCGCCATTAATCATCGAGCGAGACGATTTCCCGATCGCGATTAACAGCGCCACGATTACGCGATCCGTTCGTTCATGCGCGAGAGTGTCTTCGGGACGCGAGGCGCCGCGCGGCGAAATCGTAAAAACAATCCCCGACGGGCCGAAGAGAGCGAGGAGATGGCGAAAGTCCGGACGGAATCAGCGGAAAAGGAAAGGCGGAAAGTCGGTTGATAGAAAAATTGGCCTTCAGATAGTTAGATAAGTATTAATTATAAACGATAATAATTAGAGAACGCGCACCGCTCGTTGACGTGGCTCATTGTCCGCGCGACTCGCGAAAGTCCCGCTTTCGTTGCCGCGATATTACGAAGCGACCTCGGCGAGGGGAACGCATGCTAATTCGCGCGAATCGCACTTGACGAAACTCATGAGAGGCCGCGGTTTAACGTCAAATTAATTCAAATGCCGACAGAGACGCGTCACGCAGTCTGCAGACGTCCGCATTTCCGGGTTCCGCAATTACGCGCGGTTAACTCTGGCAAATAGGTGACAAGACAGGTAAATACAACTACAGAATATGTTTTACTGTGTCGATCTGTACTTTTAACACAGGCGGATATTCCTCGTACCGTAAATTGCTCGGCTTGTAAGGATGTAAATTGTCCTTTCAAATAAATAATTAATTCTTTTCTGCAAAAGTCAAGGCCGAATGACGTTATGTGATGAATCGGCCGCGAATTTCGACGTAAAAGTCGACGCAGAAGAAGACGTCCGGCGCCCGGCAGATTAAAACTTTCCGACTTCAATTAAGACGCGCATCTTGTGAGATCTTCATCCTGAACGGACGCGAAAGTACTATAAAATTAGTGCGCTTGCGGAACATAGCATGAAACTGAACGACACGGCGGCGAGAAAATCTTAATGGGGAAATAACACCGTGCGCGGTGAATTATTAGTATCCCGGTTAACAATTATACCTCCGACGACATCCCGTCATCGACACGCCGACGCGCTATCTACGATAATCTACATCGTCGTACTTTTCATCGTCTAAGAAAAAAGTATTAAGATGCTCAAGTACGGAGAACGAGCTCGCTTTTACCGCGGCGCACGGTGTTCGCGTGCAAATTGCGCGTTATTTTGCGTTTCTATCTAAAGTTAAAAAAAAAATTTATATATATAAATTTAGATTTGTGTTCATTTATTTTGCATGTGCAATTTCCGCACATGTCGACTCGCCGGAAGTGAACTTACCGAAAGTCAATTCGTCAAGCCCAGCGAGAATCGATTTGTCGATATTCCACGATATTTCGCCACGACAGACCACAGCTTTAAAATTAGACTCGATACCGCGAAATTTCCGCCGGGCAAGATGAAAGGAGAGACGATAAAGAGAGAGGTGTATCTGGTGCGTATACTCTCGTA